ACCACCAAGTAAAATAACATTAAGTAAAATAACATTATATGATTTTTTTTTAAATATAAATATTATGGCACAGGTCACCAGAAATAGTGAAGACTAAACCAGTCTAGTGACCTTTTATAAAATAAATGAAATAATGAGTTTTATATCATTTTGTATAATTATAAAAGTATATATTCATGAATACTTGTGGCAGCGCTAGTAAATGAAAATCATATTTTCCGCAATTTTATTCTTAAAAGATGATTTGCTAAGAGTTTTATATTTATCATCAATATCATTCCATACTTTAGGACCCTGAAATCGAAGACTGAATTTGCCATAGTTAGTTCTTATTTTGTCAATATAATATGTATTTCTAGAAGCCAATCTGGTATTATAATTATGTACTGATGTAACCTGTTTGAATATGTTATTAAATGTAGCAGGAAGATTCCCGTTATGATAATCATACATGAATAAAGCGTTGTTTAGAAAAACAAGATCGACGAGCTTCAAAATATTAAGATTTTTAAATAAAGGACTAGAATGATCGTCAAATTTAGAAAAGGTAATAATTCGGACTACTCTTTTTTGTAAGGTTATTATTGGATTAAGATTTGAAATATAGGTGTTTCCCCACAACGTTATTCCATTGTATATTAATTTAACATATGTATATTAATTTAACATTGTCCCATTGTATATTATTTTTTTACTTATCTTGACACAGGCTTGTATGTTGGATCGATACAACTACCTGTAAAAATGGTTAAACTTGGCTATGTGATTCAAAGGTTGTGGTTCACCGAGCGATAAAGAAAATGATACAAAGATGGAATGATTGGATGCAAGTTATTTACAGTGTTTCATATGACAGGTATTCTGATTGTGGAAGATGTGGGGTTGCAATATTTTGACAATTGCATGGCTATAAAGTACGAGACAATTAATATAGTATACTCCATTACTCTAATTGCCAGAACACTGCATCAGAATGAGAAGTTGTCTGTTACAGTTCGGTTTAGTAAAAGTACATAGTAAAAGTACATAGTCAGCTATGTAAAATGTAATTTAGTCAGTGTCAAATAAATATTTTGTCATGGATAAACTCTGTGCAAATGAGCATGTCTCTAATGTCATTTTACTTTTAATAAGAATATGTAGATGTGTTTTCTAATACACCTTAGGTTTGCTGTGTTATATAGCATCTTTTGTAGGTGTGTTATGTAACACACCTTAGTGTGTTATGAAACACACCTTACAACGTGCTGTAAACATTACAGACCTCTATGGTGTGTTATACAGCACAGCTTTAGGTGTGTTTTAAAACACGCCATGGTGTGTATGAAAACACGCCATGGTGTGTATGAAAACACGCCATGGTGTGTACGAAAACACGCCATGGTGTGTTCAAAAACACACCTTTATACAAAACACACCTTAAGGTGTGTTAAAATCTGGCCAAGCCGAAAACACACCTTAAGGTGGGTTTTAGAACACACCTTAAGGTGTGTTTAACACACCTTAAGGTGTGTTAAACACAACTTAAGCTGTGTTACAAAACACGCCAAAAGCTGTGTTAAACACACCTTAAGGTGTGTTCTAAAACCCACCTTAAGGTGTGTTAAAATTTGGACAAAAAGGTGTGTTAAATTAACACACCTTTTTTTAGAGTATATATATATATATATATATATATATATATATATATATATATATATATATATATATATATATATATATATATATATATATATAATTGTGTAATTGTACACTCCGTAATATGTTAGGATGAAAATGTTCTCGAGTGTATGTTATATAATTTCCATACCCATATTTCATAATTACTCGCTGGGCACCTGTGCCCCTGGCAAGTATAGGTTTCGGCATGGTTCTCCAATCTCCGATCGTCGATAGCCACAAAATAGAATATTAATGAGCTGCCTAATTTTCCCCCTAATTATCCATAAAACTCCCGCCAAATTTTACCCAAATTATCCATAAATAACCCTGCATTTTGAGGAAAATTGAACAATTTTACAAGGAATTTTGCACGGAAACAGCAACCTTCGCAAATCGTAAGTTGAGAAGAAACCGACACCGTTCGATTCAGCGTAAGAAATTGTACTCACGGATGTCAAATGTATTACTAAACAGCAGTATTCTAGCGATTTATGGCCTTTGAAAATCAAGCGAAATTGGTCAAATTGTATTGTTGATAAATCGTTCGCAGTACGTATGTCCTTGTATTTGTAATGCCTCATGGCGCAATAACGATAAAAAATATCACCGTTCGATTCAGGGTAAGAAATGGTACTAATTACGGATGTCAAATTATTACTAAACAATAGTATTCTAGCGATTTATAACCTTTGTCTTTGAAAGACGAGCGAAATTGTATTGTTATTGTTAACAATACAATTTCGCTTGTCTTTCAAAGACAAAGTGTCAAAGGCCATAAATCGCTAGAATACTATTGTTTAGTAATAATTTGACATCCGTATAAATTAGTACAATTTCTTACCCTGAATCGAACGGTGATATTTTTATCGCTCATACGGATGTCAAATGTATTACTAAACAACAGTATTCTAGCGATTTATGGCTTTGTCTTTAAAAGCCAAGCCAAATTGTATTGTTGATAACTTTGGTATCATTGGTTTTCTCTTTTTCGGTCGTATACCGGTGGATTCGTCTTACTTCTCTCTTCATTTTGATAGTATTTTGAGCCGAAAGCCCCCAAATATTTTATTTTGAACGTTTTAAACCGCAGTTTATTCCTAGCGTACGGACCAACTGGCGGCTGACAGTCTTAACTGAAGAGTGCAGCGTAGTAAATATAACTTTACTTGTAATTGTAGGGCCTGCCGCATTTTAGTACTGTGATAAGCCTTT